TTTAGAATAACACCATATTGATCGGGAGACACGCGATTCCAAATTGTACGTCTAAGTATAACTTGGAATGTCGCTATATTATGTCTTGAGAATGAAACGAAATATGGAAAAAATGTAAATAACTGTAATGTAGTGAGAATATACGAATTTTTTAAAAGTAGATGAAATGTGTTTTGTAGGTAGACGACATATGCAAGTAATGAACCTAGTAGGGCAGAGGCGCCTTCTTTTCATAAGGCCTCTCCAGCGCCGCCATCGACTTCTTAGAAAACCACTTCCTTTCTGGGCCTCCCTCGGCATACCCTCGATGCCTTTCTTATATCCGCCTCTCAGCCTCTTCAGCCGGCTACGTATTCTTCTCCGTCTACTCATCATCATCATCATCACCCTCCTCCTCCTCTTCCTTCCCCTTCTCCTCCTTCTACTTCTTCTCCTCCTTCTCTTCCTCCTCCTTCCCCTTCTCCTCCTTCTCTTTCTTATCTTTCTCCTCCTTCTTTTTCTCATCTTTCTCCTCCTTCTTTTTCTCATCTTTCTCCTCCTCCTTCCCCCCCCCCCCCTCCCCGCCTCCTTCCCCGCCTTATGAATATTTATTTGAAGAAGGAAGATCCCCGTGTATTGTCGTATATCAATAATGTCACATGCTTTTTCCTCCGCAACGGGAAGGGAAAAGAAATACAAAATCTTTATGAGAAATACTTTCGTATTCATCTCCTGCAAATACTTCTAGATCCACGAACACGAAAATGAAACAACTACAACAGCAACAACGAAAAAAAATCCACCGACACGGGCAGCTGTATTAAAACAAACCTGGAGGATCACTATGGAATATCAAAAAAGGAAAAAAAAGAGAGAGACAAGAGAGAGATAGAAAAAAAAAGAAAAACACATAGAAAGAGAGCAATATTTCGAGCTGGAGTGTATCTGACAATAAACTAGGGCCGCGTGTTTGCCCAGGAGAGGCCGTGACAATACGGAGGCCCTTCTCCCTCGGCCGAGCATGAAAGACAGATCTGTTGACGGCCCGACTCTGGCCCGGGATAATATGCGATGTGGTGTTTGCTGCCGTCATTGTGGCCTCTTGTGGGGGTGGAGTGGGGGCGAGAGGGGCATTGGCTGGCTCTCGGGGGAGAAGGAAGAGGGGGTTAGGGGAATGTGTGCGAGAGGGAAGGGAGGCTAAGTGGGGAGGGGAATTGGCTGGCCAGGGGGAGGGGTTGAAGGGGGCTAGGGGATGTGTGGTACACAGGGGGTGGGGGTGGGAATTGGCTGAGCAAGGGTCGAAGTGAGTTAGGAAATGTGTGATAGATTGGAGGGAGACTAGGTGGAGAGTTGGTTGTGTAAGGGGGGGGGGGGGAAGAAGAAGAGGTTTGGGGGTATTTGGTAGATGGGGAGGGAAGAGGTTGAAGAGAGAAAATGACGGCTAAAGGACAAGGGAGATGAGAGAAAGGAAGGCTTGGGGAAATAAGGCTGTTAAGGAGGTTGGGGAAGCGATAGGAGAAGGGGTGGAGGGGATATGGAGATGGAGGGGTTGGGATGAGGTTGAGGCTGTCTCGGGGAAAGAATAAAACGTGGATATAGGACGGGTTAGTGGTAGTGGGGGTTGGGGGAAAGATGACGAGGGGATTGGGGAAGCAGGTGATTTGGGAGGGAATTTGGTGAAGCTTGAGGAGGATGAGTGGGGATTAGAATGAGTGGGGATTAGAATGGATGTATTGAAGAGTTCATGGTTTGAAGAGGACTGGGAAGTTGATGATTCGACAGCGTGAGGGTGCATTCACATCATAATCATTTTCTTCGGCTTATCCCCTATTTTCATAACTCGCCTTTTCTCTCGTTCTCGGCAGTAGGAATAATCTCCCGGAACTGATCCCCTGCGTCACACAAAGGCAAAAAAGGGGTGACAAAGCCCATGACGCTTCCGCAGATCTCTTCGCGGATTACCGTGAAACCTTCGTCATTCAGCTGCCTGGAGTCCTCGTGTTTTTGTGTTCAAGGGTTTGTATCACCTCCCTGCTACTTCATGTTTTGCCTCAACCTGTTTTCTCTTCCCCTTTTCTCCTCTTCTCGTCTCATTTTTCTTTCTTCTTGTGTTGTTTTGGCTTGTCTTCTCTTCCCTCCTCTCCCCTCCTCTTTCTCTCTCTCCCGTTCTACAACTCTTCCACTCACCCTTTTACTCGCTCACTCACACTCAATGTCTACTTTCCTCTCCCTCCCATCCCGTAATCTCCGTCCACATTAAGAAGTTTCAGTTAATTGCAAACACAGATCCGAGGGGAGTATCGCGGGCTGTAATCTAAGGGAATCAGGTTCGCATTAGCCCTCTGGTGTCGGCCATGAGGTTCGGCAGCTCGCTTCTCGGGAGACAGGCAAGAAGTAATGACAGGTGGTGTAACATGATGAGAATACAGAAGTAACTGTCACGTACATCATCAGACGCAAATACCAGCCGGAAGAAAAGTAAATGGATAGATGAATGAAACAAACTTAGCAATGTACTCAC